TTTTAATAGCAAATAATTCTCGATCATGATTGGCTAATTTTTATTGTGATCTAAATAGCAGAACCGATTACTTATAATTCTGGTCAAATTGCAGATCATTTGCATATGGGTGAATTTGACACATATGATAATCATTTGAATGTGACAAAATTATGTCATTACTAGCATTATAAAAAAAAATAATAAATTTGGCCCATGGTCAGAAAAAGTAGGCCCAGTTTCATGTTTATTTCCTTTTTAGAATCAGAGTACAACCGGAGTGCAATTCCCTAAATGGGTCATGGACTAGGAAAACCCAGCTTTGAAGGGGGTTTCCATTTTGAGAAAATGGTGATTATAGTTTGTATCACCTAAATTTCTGTTGTTTTTTCCCCTGAATTTCGGATTTATTTTTAGATATCCAATCATTTAATATCACGTGTTTATTTGTTATGTTCAATTATTTAATATAATTAATAAATAATTTGATCACGTGTTTATTCGTTAACTTACTATGTCTTTAAACGAAAATAAAGAAAATATATTTTTTCATCACATATTTCTTTAGAGCAGCTAGATTTAAGTGAATATGAGGATAACGAGTTAGTACAAGAAGCTGCACAAGATTTATGAAAATTTTCAATCCAAAAACTGTGAATGCCGAATGAGAAATACTTATCAATGTTTCGAAAAAGTTGGATTTAAGTGATTTTTTGAATGACATATACAATTTCGTAGCTTAGATAAAAAAGAACTAGATTTAGTTCTAATGGGTCAGCTTATAGCATTTGAATATAATCAAACAAATGAAAATGCTAAACAGAAATTTAATTATCACTTTAATAATGATATTAAACTCTGTAAAAATACATATCTTAAGTTAATTGGAGTTGGAAAAGATTATCTTATTCAAATTAATAAGAGTTTAAAAACTAAAGGGTTAGTTGAACAATTACATGACAATACAAAGTGAATTCCTAATATAAAAAACCGTATAAGAATTGATCAAACTGTATCAAATTTGGTTTTTACATTTATTAGTAATTATGCTAATATTTACAGGTATCCTTCACCAGGTCGTTTACAACATGATACACAGTTAATAATTTACTTGCCAACTAGTGAAGATTATACTAAAGTATATAATAATTTTATCGAATGTCTTAATATTTTTCCTGAAAAACCATTCGATAAAATTAGTTATAAAAGCTTTGTTCGTATTTAGAAAGAGTTATTACCACATATTAAATTTATAACACCCAGCACAGATTTATGCGAAACTTGTGAAACCATAAAAGCTGAAATTCGAAATGCAAATTATAATGAAGAAAAGGAATTAATTCAAAAAAGGTTAGATGATCATAAAAAAATCAGAAATTGAACGAGAATATTATCGTAATAATATTTTAACAAGTACAATATTACCTAATACAATGCATATATGTTACGATTGGGCACAAAATGTTCCTGTGCCTTATTCTCCCCAACAAATCGGTACAACATATTTTAAATCTGCACTTCAGGCTCATATTTTTGGCATTTGTAATACGAGACAAAATCCAGCTCAACAATTAAATTATATAATTGCCAAAAATGAATTTCCTCAAGGAACAGGTAAAGAAGCAAATACAACAATTAGTCTTGTTTATAATAGATTGCAACGATTTCATAATCATGAAAAACATTTAAAAGTAACTTGTGATAATTGCTCTGCACAAAATAAAAATAATCTCTCATTATACTTTTGGTATTGGCTTACATTAGTTAGCATGTATGATATGGTTGAGGTAAATTTCATGATAACTGGACATATGAAATTTATATGCGATGGATATTTTGGTAATATTAAAACACTTTTTCGAAAAATAGTTATTAACACAGTAGACGATGTTCAAATGGTAGTTAATAAGTTAACAAACAATGATACTAATAATGGAATACGTTATAATAATGGTGAAGAATGGGCATATTACGACTTCTTTAAATTTTTAAAACCACATTTTAAAGAGCTGCCCAGAATTCTAAAGTATAATCATTTTTTATTTACTTCTAAAGATCCGAGAAAGGTATTATGTCAGACTAAAGCATACAGTACCTATAGCACATTTAAAATTTTAAAAAATAGGTTTAATGTTAATGAAGTTCTTGATAAAATTCCTTTAAAAACTTTATCAAAAGAACATCAAGAGTATCTTTACTATGAAATACGAAAATATGTAAATATAAAATTTCAAGAAATAACTTGTCCAAAGCCATCGTGGCTTAAATAAATAACTTTGATTAAAAGCTAAAAGCTTGAATAAATAAAAATTTTTTTATTAAATAAAAAATTTTAAGGTTAGCGTTAAATAGTATAATTTAATATATCATTACATATAAATTAATTATCGTTACCTTGTTTTTTTTCAATTCAACAGCAATAAAAATTATTTTTATTTATCTATAGTATTATGTGAAAGTATCGTTTAAAACTCAAACCCGCCTTTATTCTAGTTTTTGTAGCTAAAAGTAAGTATTTGATGTGAATTTTTTTTTTATCGCAATTATTGATGATCTAATTTGTCACTTTTGATTGGATGATCTTTGATCATCATTCTATTTTTAGAATATGAAATTTTTGAAGAATTGTTATTTTCAAATTAAAAAATCTTGATAATTTATTATATTAATATAGAGTAAAAAGTGAAATACATATAAATAGAAACCGGCACTTTAATTTGAATCAAAAATCTCAAAATTGATAAAAAAGTGTCAAAGGTGGGTTTTTCTAGTCCATGACCCAAATAGGGAAACGTCTAAAATGGAGGCAACTCATATTTAATATTTTTTCGATTAACTTTAGGGTTAGAGTCTTCTATATTGGGGTTAGGCTAGATTTTAGTAGATAAATATAAGCAAAATTGCCTTCTTGACATTTTTAATTAACCTATCTAAGGTAGGTTTAGACTGCTATTTTTTGTATTTTTCAGGTTTTTTGATTTTTTGCTTCGCTAGCAATTATCAAAATTCTGTAAGTTTATTGGCTGTTGATTACATGATGTACCTCTGCTTTAAACAACCTTCAAATTAGGAATTACATTTTAGAATGATCTACAGATAGATTCTTGAATTTGATTGGCTTTCACGTGTCTTTTACCTCTCAAACATCACACATTAAGAAAAATTTTTTTTTGATAATTATTGAGACCTGGTAAGCTTCAAACACATAGTTTAAAATGACTAGTTTTAATAATCAAAATTAATTAGCAATGATCAACCTTTTTTGTCAAAGTAAATGAAAAGCTAAAAAAAGATATTTGTTTTGTACAAAAAGTTAAAACTTGTTATTAGTTAACAGTTAACACAAGTTTATTTTTAAAATTTATATATTTGAGAATGTCTTCAAGTTTTATTTACATTATAATAATATTAACTTTTTAATTTATTTCTGTATTTATAACTACATAGGCGTTAAAAACTATTTATATAAGAAAAAAATAAAGACAAAGTAAAGGAATAGATTTAAGTTGCAAATAGATGTTGGGTGATATTGTTCAATAATATATATGGACGATGCTGTTTGATAGTATAAACCAAATACAATAATATAGTTTTTAAAAGGTAGCAATAATTAAAAGATAATTATTATTTAGAAGATTTGGTAAAAAATAAAGCTTTGTTACTTTTTCATGTATCTCTTTTATATATCTTCTTTTGTATATTAAGTATTGATTAATTTGATTAGTTAATACTCATGTGCTACAAAATCTGGAATCTTCTGATCAATACTCTTATACCATAAAAGGTGTGATCTACAATATCCATTTTTGGTATATTCTCTGACTGTGGTCTAGACACTTTTGCAGTAATGTGATGTGGCATATCGTGGTATATTCAGATAAGCCTTTTGGCTTTATGTTATGTTTCTGGTTAGAGTTCATGATTATAGGCCTTGAAAGTCATTTTCATATGTAAAATTACTTTTCTGACATTTCTTGTTAGTGAACAAAGGCTGATTTAAACACTAGTTTTTGAGTATTTTCACTTTTTTCACTTTTTTCTTCTTGTGCATATGTTTTGTTTGACATTAGGCTAATCCAGGACAATCAAAATTTACACATTCTGATTAGTCATTTCTTATGCATCACATCACGTTACTGCAAAAGTGTCTATACTCCTGGTGGGGTTAGTATTCTAGGTATCTAGTAGCTCACCTACAAAATTTTTTCTGGCACGTGATTTTTAGCCAATTAGATCGAAAGATCAGGTGTAACATAAAATTAAAACAATCAAATATGCGAAAACAAAACAATTGAATAAGCGAAAGATTTAATGCAATAAATATCATCTTAGGGTTAGAATTAAGGTCAAGGAATGGGCATATTATACCAAAATTTCACAAGAAATTTTTTTTGTTAGAACATGTAAAGCAGTTTTATAAACAAAATTTTGAGTTATTAGCGATTTTTGTAAAAGGCGTAATTTTCATATTACATCTGATCCTTCAATCTAATTGGCTAAAATCATGTGTCGGAAAAATTTTGGGGGTGGTTGTATGCTAGTATTGAATCACCAGACTTTATAACTTAGGCTTATAATTTATTATTTACTAGACTCAGCTTTGCTTAAAGACATATATGATATACAAGTGTTGAGATTTTTTCTTAATAATATTAATTGATAGTCCGTGAGTCAATCAGAGAAAATGATCTGCAATTAATAAGTAAATATAACGCAATTTAATTAATAAAAAAAACGGACATACTTTTAATACATATGTGACTTTAATTATTTTAATTTTACCCTTTATCCACACACCCATATTACCATCTGCCCATTATATCTGCTTCGTTTATTATCCACTCGCTTATTAATATTTTAGACCTTCAAGAGTAGAGCTTGGACTCAAGTTAATTCGAATTTTATAAGTTAAATGCTAACGAGCTAACTTGAATCAAATCAAAAAGGTAATAATTCATTTTTTTTGATTTGTGTATTCTATTCAAACTGTTCAATACATTTGTTTTATACGTATGAATATATTATAAAGATTATTTTTTAAACAATATGAGGTATTTTTTTTTTGTTTTATACATAAGTTTATATTGTTTACAAATTAATTGTATTTAATTATCTTTTTAGTTAAAGGTGTATCATTGAGTTTGGGAAATATTTTGGGATAAAAATACTGGAGATTTTATTTTAGTGTTAAATTACGCAAAATTGGATCATTATGTGAAAATCTTAAGGATATATTTAAATTGGAGTGAAAAATTAAACTAAAATTATTATGCGATATCATTAATAACCTATCGAATATTCATTCTAAAAAATTTATACATCGAAATTTACATCCTGGTAATATTTTACTAAAAGGATATGGGTGCTGTTAAATAGAAAAGGGAGAAATCTCTTTTTAAATCTGGTCAAATTGACTAGATTTAAAAAGAGATTTCTTCCTTTTTTATTAAGGGTAGAGTATAGGTCGATCATTTATCATATGATCTCCGTGGTACAACGGGATTTTATGCATAAAGTAAAATA